CTATATTAGCACTGAAGATGTTACCTAGCCGGGTAATGAAACATTTGCAAGAAAAGAACCAAGCTCAGAGAACCCCAAGGATGCCACAGTTTGACCCTGAGCTGCATATATTCGCCTCTATTGGTACATGCAGATTAAATGGTATGAGGTATCAAGTGATGATGTCAGAGTTCAATCCTGACCCTTTTGTTTTTCAACATCTTCATAGATGTCTTGGATGAGGAGGTGGAAGGAATGCTTGCAGATGATACAAAACTGAGGATAGTAATACTTCAGAAAGCAGAAACAAAACTCACAATAATCTTGATTAGAGAAGTGAGCTTAAAAAAACGAAATTTAGTTGACATTCAAAGTCACTTGGACAAAAAGGGATAGGTTTTTATTTTATCTGTTAACAAGCAGATACTTGGCTTGTTAACAGCATATGTGAGAGGGAAGAATTTGGGATTGTAGCTGGTCACAAATTTAATACGAATCAGCAGTGTAGCATGGCTGCCTCAATAGAAGTACAGTATAGTTTCTAAATAGTGGGAAGAGTTCTTTTATATTAGGTACTGGTCAAATTTCAGGTGAATGCAGTATTGCATTCAGTTCTGTATACCACATTTTAAGAAAGATTTAGAGAAGCTACTGGAATAGGTGCAAAAATAGGCATAACAGATGTTCAGTGGACTAGAAATTGATATAAAACTATTATTTGAAAATAATTTAGAAGAAATGGTTCAGATCTCTTGTGAGCCCAGCAGCTCTCTACTTTGCATCAAAGCAGCCTAAATATATGTTGTTGCTTTGAAGAACTGCATTATGACTCGACTCCTTAAAGTGGCACTTTAAAGCAGCGTAATCTCCACGGAAACCTGAAAACATTGGTCTGTTTCAATGTATAGCGGAGAGGTGCTGTCTAATGAAAGGTGTAGAGCACATTTTTTCAAAGTGTGCACAGAACATCAGAAGCTGTTATTCATTATTTCAGAACACAGAATGTGAAATAATAAAGTTATAGGAAAACACATTCCAGTTGAATGTTAGGAAAAAAAAAACTTGGTTACTGTAACAGCAGTTTGATAAAGTAGTGAGTTCCCTTTTGCGGAAATATTCGAGCAGAGGTTGGACAGACATCTGTCTGGGATGATTTATTTTGAATTCCTTATGGCTTAAAATGTTTTCCATTGCTATAATTCTTATAAAATGTTATAAATCATTTTTCTTGCACTTTAAAACACATTAATTCTAACAGTGTTTCATGGTCTTTGCTATGTATTCAACTATCTTAAAGTGGCCTCCTCTATGGAAGCCAGACAGACTATATTACTAGCCTACCGACAACTGGTAAAGTAGTTACACCCATCATAAAGCTTTAACTCTCGAGTCAATATCTCCCTGAAGACTGACTTTGAAGGCCATAACCCCTTTTATCCTTATAGCAATCAAGTTTTATTTTCAGTTATAATGTTAGGGCTTTATACCACAAGTAGTTACGCAGCAATCTGGATGTGTGTGTGTAAGCAGTGCTAACCAGCAATGTTGGACTTTTACCCCACGTTCAGTGGCTCAAAGTAAAAATGCAACAATAATAAATGGAGTTTGAAACTAAGGACTGTACTTTCTGTCAGTTACAGCAAACTCTCAAAGTACTGCTCAGCTCTGGAATAACGCGCTTTTGCACGTATGCCAAGAATGCATCAATGTTTATCCAAACCTCGGGGCCAGGAGTTTGTGAGAGCTCGGGATGGCATGTTCCAGCTGGAGGAGGAAGTCCAGACTTTTCACGTTGCAAATCCACCAATACCTCCTTTTCCTGGGCGCGCGGCTTCCTTCCCAGGCGAGCAATTAGGGCTTGCGCGGCAGCGGATGCTGCTCCGGGAAGGCGGGGCATATTTCCACTGGCAGCACCTGTCGCAGGTGCGTGTGGGTCACGTGGCTCCGCCATCAGTCCTGGGAACCGCGCCAGCTTCCTTCCTTTAGGCGTTTCTCCGCTTGCGCGGCCGGACCAGATTAGGGAAGGCGGAGAGTGTCGGTCGTCGCTTGTTGAGTTCTCGAAGAAAGACTGAAAGAGTTGGAGGAATTAAGGCCGCCTTCCGTAAAACGGTGGCGATTCGGCAGACCGAAGATGAGCAAGATCCAGAAGTTTTTCAAGGGCGGCGGGGGGTCGGGCTACTCCAGGGGGAAAGGGAAAGGAGGGCCCACGCCGCAGGAGGCTTTGGCGCGGCTGCGGGAGACGGAGGAAATGCTGACCAAGAAGCAGGAGTACCTGGAAGCGAGGGTTGCCAAGGAGCTGGCCCTGGCTAAGAAACACGGCACCCGGGACAAGCGAGGTGGGTTTTCTCGAGAATCAGGCCTTAATCCGGAGTCAGAGTGAAAGAGCACAGCGCTGAGGTGTTCTGGCTGTAGGAAACGAGCCCCTGAGCGTGAGCAGAGTACAAAGACTTTATCAACCAATTACCCTTTTAACATTTAGTTTCAGGGAGTTGTCCACGGCTTAAAAGTATCATTAGTATGTTAGTACGGGGAAGGGCAGAAGGTAACAGCGTATTGCAAAATCTTAGACGGAGAGCAGTTTCTTTAACTACGTGAAGAGCTTTAACTTTTCTATTTGGTTGAGTGGTTCCTTTTTTATACGCTGTAGAAGTTGGAAGACGGCCACTGCCTATAAATCTGGTACTTGTATGGCATTGTTTGCCCTTAATTTTTAAATTTTGCTACAGTTGGAGAGGTATTTTTGTCACAGTAAGAATTGTTTGACTTTGTTCACGTGACTGAAGGTTATAATTTAAGCACTGAACTTTGTTGTTTGTCAATGAGCTTGGATTTGGCTATTGTGTCAGGATCTATATTTGAAGTGCACCCTCCCTTTGACAATTATAGTGTGTGACTCTACCCAGGATGAAAATGCTTTCTTTCCTTTATAAAATGGTTCCTTTCCTATTCCCACATCCTTACATAGGAGAAATCAGCTTCAGAGTGAGCTTACTTTAAACACTGAGCTTAATGGTCTTGTGTGCCCCCATCTTAAATTTAAGATGCTGTGTTATTGTGCTTAATTCTAAATGTATTCACCCACCCCTACATTAAAAGATTTCTGCATTCAGATGGGTGGTGCCCTACATTCCTGCTTTAAAATGCTACCCTGAGGGCTTTACTGCCAGAAATCCTTCTTGTGCTGTTCCCACATAAATTTATTTTCCGTTCCAATTATTTTTATTTTTCCACATAAATTTATTTTTCAGGAAGAGAAATTTATTTCTGCAAGGTTTCCTCAGCTTCCCCTGAACTATATTTGAATGCTTCTGTCTCCTTCCAGATTGCTTTGTATGTGAACTTTATATCTCCTAGGAAGTTTTGATTGTGGTTGGTTTAATAAATAAGTTGGCTTGAGCAATTACTGTAATAGAGAAAACTTTTATCTCTGTTTAAAGTTTTCAGAATGTTGTCTCATTTTTGGATACAGCTTTTAAGGTTACCTGCTAATTGTCACATCTAATTTTGTTATGATCTTGTTTAGTGCACTGCTAATACTGACTTTGTTAAGGCACAACTTTCTTTACATAAGGATCCTGAACAAATCCAACTGAGTAGGACTTCTTCCTAATTTAATTATGTGCCATCAAGTCATTTTCGACTCTAGTGACCACATAGATAGATTTTCTCCATTACAATCTGTCCCTAGTCTAGTCTTTCAGATATTCTAACATTCTTTCTAAATAAACCAGGTTTATTCATAGTATAAGTGAATTGGAAGTAATGGAACCCCTGGCTTTTTAGGATTGAGTTGTGAAACTATACATGCATGCTTGAAGTGTCACTTGTGTGAGATGGGCAGCTATATAAATTATATAAGTAAATGAATATCCAAACTCTATCAGTTCTCTTTTCTGCCTTCTGTTTCAAGACACTAGAGTCAACTGACTCCCTCCAAGGCAGGGCATCTGTGGGGGTGGGGTATGTCAAAGTCAAGATGGCAGCTGCAACCACAAGATTGAAGCTCTACCTGTTTTGTACATGTGATGAATGTAAAAATGTACGTGTAAAGCATATAAAAAAAGGAATGAGGTTTTGTTTACATACCTGCCATCTTGATTTTTTGAACCATGCCCTTGTGGACAATCTTACTCTAAAGTTGTTTAGTTGTGAAGCCTAACCTATTTTAAATGAGACTGCCCTTGGATAATGTTGGATTTAGGGGACAAGCACTGTTTTAACACTGGTATGATTAAGGATGATGTTGGGCTGTCTCACTCATGAGCTGATGGCAAAGTCATCAGGGCAGGAAGGAAAAAAGGTTTCATCAGGCCATATTTGTACTGTGGTTAGGTGCAAGCAGTGAAAAGTATGAAACTGGTGTGTTTTTAAATAGATAATTGTGTTCCTCATTGTACTACTAAAGTATTAGCCTAAAGGTGCAATATGTGGTCTCCACGGCAGTACTGTAGCATTAATTACAGACAGTCCCCTACTTACAAACAGGTTAGGTTCCAAGAGGCTGTTTGTAAGTCCGTTTTGTTCGTACATCCAACCAAGTAAAAAGTACTGTCAAAAGAAAAAAAAAAAAAAAAAAAAAAAAAAAGCAGGAGGCATGGCAGTGGTGTGGGCAGAGAAGTCCTGTCTTCTGCCAACGCGAGAAGCGATAGCCCGCAGACTGTGGAGAGTGCAGTGGGACAAGCCAGTGGGGTGCAGGGTGCTCTGTTGCCAGGCAAGGCAGGAGAGGCAGCAGTAGCTCCCTGGGTGAAGGGGGTAGCTATGCAGGAGGCAAAACTGCTGGCCCTTCGCGAGGCCTTGCAGGAGGAAGGCAGCCTCTCAAAGCGCGCTGTAAACTCCAATGCAAATAGCCAACCTCCCAGAAGGCAGGAAAGGGCTAGTTTGCGGGACTCTGGAAACTAACCCTTTTCCTCCTTCTCCCGACTTCCGGGTCCATCTTGTTCGCATTGGTGAAAGTTCGCAACTCGAAAGTTCGTAAGTAGGGGACTGTCTGTATTTGACCCTCCAAGGGTGGAAGGAAAATTCTGATTGTGTTTCTCAGCCTTGGCAACTTTAAGATGTGTGGATTTCCAACTCCCAGAATTCCCCAGCCAGCCATATGTAGTGGGAAATCTGAGATATCCCTCGCCTGCCTCTGTTGTGGTCTGTGTCCTAGATCAGAAAGGCCTAACTTTAAAAGCTCTTAAGGGACTCTCCTGGGATTGGCCAGGATAAGAGGGTGAGGTTTTGAATTTAATACTTCCCAGTTCTCATCTATTCCTTTTGAATCCTGTTTTTGTAGCCCTAAAACCCACTCCAACCATGATTACCAAAATCTAAAGGCATGGTTTCCTGCCATTTAAGATGAGAAATCCATGATAAGGCTAAAATAGGAATTAAAAAAATGGTAGAAAAAGCATGCAAAGCATAGTTTCTTTCAAACACCTTTACCAGCATTGGCCTTGGCAGGTGTCTATTTAACAAAATAATAAGCAGTATCTGTATGTGTTTTTCTCTTATCACTTTGTGTTAGGTCTGTGTGCATTTCTGTGTATATGTGTACTGGAAAGCACTAGGTGCATTCCATATAATCTGTTCTGGGTCATGTGACCTGGAGGGAAGAATGGGGAGGGGTTAGAATGATGCAGTGACCATCTTTCTGAGTCACAGCCCAACTGTCTCCCATGGGAATGCTTTGGGGGAATTTTTCATTTTTCAGATTATTTTGTCTTCTCTCACAGCCCTAGGTCTGTGTTTTGCTGACTTTCTCTCCACACCAAATTTGGTCCTATTCTGTTCAGTTTTAAATTTATGGCGTAGAGTCCCAATTCCTTTACATAACTAATTTCCAGTATCTGACAGAGTTGAGGGGACCTAGACCAGGTTTTGAACTTATTGACTCTTTTTGCGGGGTCGGGGGTGCCTTCGAGCCAGTCTTGACTCCTGGCAACTGCCTGGACTAGTCCCTGTAATTTTCTTGGCAAGATTTTCAGAAATGGTTTGCCCTTGCCTCCTTCCTAGGACTGAGAGAGAGTGACTGGCCCAAGGTCCCCCAGCTGGCTTGGGGCCTCAGGCAGGACTAGAACTCACGGTCTCCCTGTTTCTAGCCTGATGTCTTAACCAGTACAACAAACTGGCTCTTTTGCTGATTCTTATTCCCTTATTAAAAAAAAAATAGCAGAAAGAGTAGTAAATGCTGCTTTCCCCTCTTTCTGCAGATCAGATTTGCAAATCAGTAGGGCAGTGATCTGGAATGGTTGGAGTGACCTGATTTGGGCATAAGTTCTTTTTGGAGTTTATGCATGAAACTAACCAACCGTGTATGTTAAAACTAAATTGATCACCATTATATAACATATAACGTCACGTAATGTACCATTTGGATTGCTAGTTTGTGCTTTTGGTTGGGATGAAATCTAATCTAGAATTAGAACTCAGCAGTTGCTGTTTCTGTCCTGGCAGATACATCCTAGCTAGCCATTAAAAATAGTTGCAGAAGTCACGTGTGTTCTAAATTTATATAATGGTATATTATAAGAACCGCTTTGTGATAGTGCTCAGCTAGCTACCTTCAATATAACAAAAGCATTGATTCCACTTTAATGAGAAGCTGAGCACTGCAGTACTCTCACCACGCACCATGTTCTGATCCTAGTGTTTTCCACCTTTGCTGGTGTTACAACTACAGAATTCCCAGCCAGCAGTCCAAACGTGTCTTTGGAATATGTCCCACTGATTTCCATGGATCATTCTTCTCAAAAGATGCTGGGGGCAGGGAGGGAGGGTTAATCCACCTTATATTTGTGTTGTGGAGAGTTCTCCCTTTAGAACTTTCATGTAGTTATCCATATTTATTTCTATGCCAGCTCTAACATTGCATTATGATAAGAATACATCCACCTGTTAGCCAACCATTTTAGTGCCAGACTCAAAAAATATTAAATAGATTCAGGAGCCATGAAAGCAAAATATGTGAGGTTGTTATCTGCTCTGTACTTAGGGTTAAATTACATATTTGGCTAAAGCACCGGGCATATTATTTTTCAGAAATTGTATTTATGCTCTTTTTGACTTGGGCCAGAGAACAGGGAGAAAAGAAAGTGGGCTTCCTCTGTGTGGATATGGCACACAATTTGTTAGGTGCTTAGATGTGCTAGCTTTCTCTTCGCATGAAGTTGTGTGTTATACTTTTCTTCTGATATGATCTGATGTCTTGCCAGGAACAAGAATGGAGAGCAGAATTGTAAATTGTCTTTTGATTAATTTGCAGAGGTGGATGTTTCCTTTTCTGATGTAGATTAAATGGAGTTTCTGCCAGAGAATTGCAAATACGTGCAGGAATCTACCTGATATAGAGGTT